CACAGGAACTTTCTCAGCCACGTTCATTACTGCTCTGTTCATAATAGGCAGGAAACAGAAACAATCCAAATGTCCTTCGACTGACGGATTGATAATTAAAATGTGATACACATACACTATGGAATATTATTCAGCTGTAAAGAAAAATGAAATGATGGAATTCTCAGGTAACTGGGTAGAACCAGCAAAGATCATATTGAGTAAGGTAACCCAGACCCAGAGAGACAAACATCACAAGTTCTCTGTCACCTGAGGTTCCCAGCCCCAAATCTTCAGATGTGAGTACGTGGGGTAACTGCAGAGTCCAGGAAAGCAAAAGGGGACCACTGCAGCTGTAAGGCTGAATGAGCAATAGCAAGAGGAACAGCAGAGCACAAGTGATCTGAAGTGAGAAATGGGGAAAATGGAGAGGGGAGAGGGAAATACAGAAGAAAGGGAGTAACATAACAATAAGAATGTCTGGAATATCATAAGGAATTACACTTTAAATATCTACCTAAAATATCTGTATTACATATAAATCTGTGCATACATATATAGTTCAATGAAAATTTTCCATCTGTGATGAGAGTGTTCTCCATAAGAGCCATAGACTACCAAACAAAAATCCCAACACCCAGCACGAGAAGCCCTCTTTCAAGCTGCTGGCCAGGGTTCTCCAAGAGAGTCTCAAAACATTATATGCTACTGCTGTTACCCTTCATCCCCCACAGCCCCCAGAGGTGGAAGGTAAGTCCCTATTGCTGAAGACACCATGGCCTTTGGACACAGAACCCAGAGGACCAGAAACGGACCTGAACTGAAAGCCGCCTCTCTGAAAACTAGCTTTCATGGTTCCAGGTGTTACCATACAAGCTTCTAATGGAGGGAAGCAACCAATAGTCCTGCCTAGCTATGATGCCTATGAACCACAACGATTAACCAGCATGGCAAAGGGTACCTACCATAGTGGCACACATACCTTGGTGGAATGAACACCACCTCTAGTTGGACTTAAGACCTGCTCAACAAGAGGGAAACCATGCTTGGTACTGGAAACCTAGCCAAGTCTACAGGGTTAGTGAATTCATAGATCCTGGAGGAAAACTTATAACCATAACTTTACAACGTCAACATAATCCCTAACTACATTCTAAATACTTATCCTTATACCATCTATCATTCACATTTAAAATTTATCTCTTTTATTGTATGACAAGGTTAATCTTCTAAAGGATTCAAAGAGAGATTTATATTTTATAACATTTATAAGAAATACTTTGCTTCAAAGATGGTAGTTTACTGAATTTTATTGAAAAAGTGTATATATATGTATATATACACACAAATATACATGGGTATACTTATATATAAATGCATGTAAACATTTTAGGATTCCTGAAACTGTGATGATATACCTTTAATTAATGTATTATAAAACCATTAATAAGCAGTGTTAGGCCCGGCATTGGTGGCGCATGCCTTTAATCCCAGCACTCGGGAGGCAGAGGCAGCCGGATCTCTGTGAGTTTGAGGACAGCCTGGTCTACAGAGCGAGTTCCAGGACAGCCTCCAAAGCCGCAGAGAAACCCTGTCTCGAAAAAAACAAACAAAAAACAGGCAGTGTTACATATCTTGATATAACTGTGCCTTACAAGCGATAAGATCCTTGATTTTATGCAATATGGAATTCAGAAAAGATCCCTGACATAAAGATTAGAAAGGTTTAGTAGCAAAATAACTGGTGAGATTGCAGGGACCTGACCTGGGCTTGGGTCCTGTTTCTGCTCTGTTCTCAGCAGGATAGTTTGGACAGTGATTGTTTCTAAAACCTCGGTTCCCAGAATATTTCTGCTGCTGGAGTAATGGCACACTGAGCATGGGACCAGGGACCAGTTTCCAAAACTCACAGCAGAGTCTTCAGTCTGTAAAAAGTTATTATTTTAGATGCTCAGAAAAAGGTGTAGAAGTTGGAGATTATTTCTGTGGATTGCTTTTCTACTTGTGAGAGCAGTTATTTGTTTACTATTCTTCGTTTATAAGAAGGAACTGACTGACTTACTTTTGAAATTTATTTATAGTGCATGTGTCTGTGCATACGTGAGGGAGACCTTGTCCCACGGTGCACATACGGAGGTCCGAGAATGACTGGCAGGAGCCAGTTCTCTCCTACTGTTCTGTGGGTTCTAGGGATCCAACTCAAGGTATCTCAGTGGCAAGGGCTTTAATCCACTGTGCCATTTTATTGGCCCTGGGAATGGTTGTTTTTGGGGTTTTTGTTTTATTTTCTGTAAAGACAGCGTCTCTTGTGGCCTTGCCTGGTCTTAAACTTCCTGTGTGGTAGAAACTGACCTTGAACTCCTGATCTATATACCTCCACTTCCCAAGTACTGGGATCACAGGAATTTACCAGGACACCTGGGTGATTGTTTCTGTGAAACGTTTTCATTGGATTAACAGCTTGAGAATTCACTGGCTTCTACCTTTTGCACTGACAAGTGCCCCACTATCTGCAAGTTTTTGGAACCCTGCACTAAATGATGTGGAAAGGGGAGAAACTTTGCCTTTAACTGATAATCAGTAGAAGAAATTGATCAGGACAAGACCCTATTTATAAACATGTGACTCTTTTTTCAAAGGATTTATTTTTATTTTATGTGCATGTATGTCAGTGTGATGATGTCCTGGAATGGGAGTTACAGACTATTGTGAGTTGTCATGTGGGTGGGAATTGACTCCAAGTCCTCTGGAAGAGCAACCAGTGCCCTAAACTGCTGAGCTATCTCTTCAGCCCTACATGTGGTGATTATCACACACATCATTGTTACTTTCATAATGAACTATTAAACTAGGGATTTCTTTTTTTCTAAGATAGGGTCTCCAGACTGGAGAGATGGCTCAACAGTTAAGAGCACTGGCTGCTCTTCCAGAAGACCTGGGTTCAATTCCCAGCACCCACATGATAGCTCACAACTATCTCAACTATCTGTAACTCCAGTTCCAGGGGATCTGACACCTTCACACAGACATACAAGAAGGCAAAACACCAATGCACATAATGTAATATATATATATATATATAACATATATATATTTTTTTGAGACAGGGTTTCTTTGTGTAGCCTTGGCTGTTGTAGATCAGCTTGGCCTCCCAAGTGCTAGAATTAAAGAGGTATGCCACCATCACCTGGCTAATAAAGAGTTTTGTTTTTAAATAGGGTCTTATGGGGGGGCTGGAGAGATGGCTCAGAGGTTAAGAGCACTGACTGCTCTTCCAGAGGTCCTGAGTTCAATTCCCAGCAACCACATGGTGGCTCACAACCATCTATAATGAGATCTGGTGCCCTCTTCTGGCAGATAGGCAGAACACTGATATAAATCTTAAAAAAAAAAAAAAAAGGGTCTTATGTAGCTGAGGATGACCTTAAACTCATCATCATCTCCTCTCCACCTCCTGAGTGCTGGGATTACACGGGGGCATCACCACACATTAGTTTGTGCTCGGAAACTACTTTTACAATTCAATTAAATAAAACTGAAATTCCTTTTCAGTGCCAACTTCCCAGACTCAAAGAAATGGAATTTTCACTGTTTCCTATTGTTTTTCTTCGGCCACCTACTCAGTAAGGATGTTCCATTTCTGTAACCTTGATCACGATATCTACCTTACTACTTGACGCCAAGAGCCCCCCCCCCATACTATCCTATTTGTTACATTAATGCTTCTAAACTATGGCCTGGATTATTCACAGTTCCGACGTTCATTCCACAAGTGTGTACTGAGTGCCTACTTTAAGAGAAGCACAATGTTATATACGGTAAGATGTACAAACAGAGGTGTGTGTAAATAACCGTAGCCCAAAGTCAGAAAGTGGCAATAACACATAAAGTTCAGAAAGTGTTACGGAACCCAACAGAAGTAAAACGTATTTTCAGATGGTGATGTCACACTGTAAGGTCTTATAGAAAGGATATAACTTGTCAATACCTGGAGGTGGGAGTGTGTGTGTGTGTGTGTGTGTGTGTGTGTGTGTGTGTGTGTGTAAGGGAATGCTAAGTATTCCAAGCACAAGGGGACACTGCCAATCTAGAGAAATGTAATGAATAATTCATGAAGTACTACATATGGTTTACCATGGGAGAGAGAATGAAAGAGAAACATCAGAAAATAGAATTTTGAAACCAAATTACTACTTTTGGCCTTGGCAGCAAGGGGCTATTGATTATCTTGCATCCCAGCTGGGCTTGAATATGACCATATCTATAGCAGTTATGCGTGAGATACGCTGGTGGGGCGGTGATTGGTGATTTAGGAAGAAGAAAAATGAGGCATTTACACTGTTCAGGGGTGATGAGAACTTTCATGGGATGGAGGCAATGGGTACGGGAGTGGAAGGATGCTGGAGTTACTGCAGAGACAACAGAACAGGCGTGGAAAGAAAAGGGTATCCAATTTAGACACCGAACTTTTCAAGTTGATTGCATTCCCGGGAAGAGCGGGCGGTCCGGGAAGCAATTTGCGAAAAAGGTCAAGCTACACCTGGGATGGTCAGCATTTCCACCCTGGCGAACATTCCGGAAGAAACCGCCCCTTGCGGTGGGCAGGGAACGGGCCACGGGCAGTGGAGAAGTGGATGCGTTTCTGCAAACGCTCCCAGGAAGCGGCACGCAGGAACCTTACTGCTTGCTCAGGGACCGGCTGCCACCGCTCGAGGGTCTGTTCGTCACCCCCGGCTCCGCTTCGGCTCTCCACAGACGCCGGGGTCGCCAGCAGCCTCCCCCTCAGTCCGGTTCTGAGACTTTCAGTCCCCGTGCGTCAGCGACTGCCTGCCAGTCCGGGGGATTGTAATAGATGGCGACTCTTTTGCCCTGCGGAACCCTGGCAGCGAAAAGACAGCCCCGCCCACCCTCGCCTCGCTGCTCGACCCCGGGTGGCGTCCCTGCGGGCCGCGCCACAGTTCGAACACGAGGGGCGTGGCAGGAGGGGAAGAAAAAAACCCAACCCGATGACCTCTAAATATCGAGACGTTTGATAGGCGACCACGGCTTTTGAGCTCCGGAAGCGGAAGTGGAGTACTGAGAGTTTCCTGCGCGTTTGGTTGCCTTGGAGAGCTGTGTGGGGTGCTGCTGTGCGGACGTCCGAGGTTCCTGCCGGGCATCCGGAGTTGGGGTGAGCACGGCCCTCGGCGGGTGACTCTTCCGTCGGGGAGGCCGAGGGGATGGGGAGGCGGGGGATCCCTCGCCGTCTGGGTGCGGTGGAGCCCCGTGGTCGCCGCTCCTCAGAGCCTCGCTCCCCTCAGGTCTGCTCTTTAAGGCGCTTCTGGAAGCAGCCGCTTTGTCAGAGCCGTTGTAAACCACAAGTCAGGTGTGCCGAGGTCCGGGAAACGCACTTTCCAGTCAGTTATCCTCATCTCTTCCCGGGCTCCCCTCTGGAGAGCAGCCGAAGCCCTTTCCGTTAGCCTTTACCGCGGTTGGAGGACCTCAGCCAAAGCTGTGTGTGCTTTGATTTGTGGTGAGGAAATTAGCGGGGTTCATGTGTAGTGAAAGGTGTAGCCTTGCATCCAGCTGCAGCCACAACAGCCACGTCCCAGATCAGGGGGCGTCGGATCCCCTGAAACTATATCCCCTGGAGCTAGAATTACAGGCAGTTGTGAGCCGCCCTGCTGTGGTCCTTTGGAAGAGAAATGAGGGCTCTTGACTACTGAGCTATCCAGCCCTTTTGAAGACCTCAGAGCCATATTTTGCTTAATTTTATTATCTATATTTTAAAAATATAATTGCATTTTTCCGGCTTCCAACCCTCCTCGTGTATCTCACTTGCTCTCTTTCAAATTCATGGCGTCTTTAGTTGTTATATATATGTTTAACATGTTTTTAATACACACACACAGCCCGCTCAGTTTGTATAATGTTATTTATATGGATATGTTTTCAGAGGTGATCCTATATGGTATTGAATAACCAATTTGTGTGCTCTGCTCCTAATTTACTTCATGTCTTAATTAGGAATGGGATGTCTTTCTAGTGGCTTCTGTGGTGAATATGGAAACATGGACACTTAAATTAGTTGGGAGTTTTTGTTCTTTTAAGACTGTCTCTGCACAGTTCTTGCTGTCCTGGAACTCAGTGTGCAGACCAGAATGGCCTTGAACTCAGAGATCCTTCTGCCTCTGCCTCTCAAGAGCTGGGATTAAAGGTGTGTGCTACTACACCCAGCTTGCTTGCATTTATTTTAAGTTCATTTGGTTTTTGGTACTTGACATTAGTTTGCCAATACCAGGCACATGGAGGTATAACTAGTAAGGCATAATCTAAATAGTAGCTGGAAAGTAGAACATCCAGATACTGTTTGTCGTATTGAAATAACATTCTAGCTTAATTTTGTTGGAGTAAAGGTAGTGTTTAAATGTTATAAATGCTTACAGATTTTGAGGAAAGACAAAGCAATGAAGAAACTATTTTCCAGTTATACACCTTATAAAAAGCTTTATTAGAATTTTTATAATTTGAGGATACCAGAAGATTTGGTTTTAAGCTTTTAACATGATGTTAAATCTGCCTCAAATCATAAAATAGGTTTCGATTCTTTTTTTCTTTGCCAAGGCTAGTCTTGTACTCAGTTGATCCTCCTGCCTTTGCTCAGGATGTTAGGTCTGCCAGGTTTACAAGTTTGGTGTGTGTGTTTGGGTTTTTGTTGTTTTTGTTTTTCAAGACAAGGGTTTCTCTGTAAAACAGCCCTAGCTGTCCTGGAACTAGCTCTGTCTACCAGGCAGGCTTCAACCAAGATCCGCCTGCTTCTGCCTCCTGAGTGCTGGGATTAAAGGCGTGCAAAACCACAAAGCTGAACAACTTGGTCGAGGAAGACTGGGAAGTGGGAACCAGTTATATAATTCTGCAGTTTCCAGGTCTTAGCTGAAGATAGAAAACTAAACTCTGTGCTTGGTTCCTTGAGGATTAGAACTGCAAGTTAAGTCAAATCTTCCTGTAGGTAGAGGGTTGAAGGAATATTTTTTAATATTTCCAAATATTATATGGAAAACTCAGCTGTTAAGAGCCATGATTTTTAATTTTTTAATTACATTTATTTGTGTGTGGGTCTTTAAGTCATAGCACACGGTGGAGGTCAGAGGACAACTTGTGGGAGTCTGTTGTCTGCTTCCACCGTGTGGGACTTGGGGATTAAACTCAAGTCCTTAGGCTTGACCCCAAGCACCTTTGCCTCCTGAGCTGTTTTGTAAACCCAGATTATGCTTTTTATATGCATTAGATAGTATCTTATTAGTGTTAGGTATTTTTCATTTCTCACAGGATCTAGAGTAAGACTACTTTGCATAAGATAATAAAATGGTTACCCAAACTTTAATAACTGCAACTAAATGCCTGTTTGTGAAAACAGTTTCCCATAACCATTTAGCCCCAAATAAACACACAGGGGCTTATATTAATTATAAACTGTTTTGGCCAATGGCTCAGGTTTCTTATTGGCTAACTCTCTCTTAATTATTAGTACATTTCTATTAATCTAAGTTATTACCTCCCCCGCACCCAGGGTCTTGGCTTACCTGAGAATGCCCAGACCTGTTACTCCTTTGCCAACTACATGGTGTGTCTCTCTCAGCTCCTCTCCCCAGAATTCTCATCTGGTAGCCCCGCCTATACTTCCTGCTTGGCTGCTGGCCAATCAGTGTTTTATTCATCAACCAATAAGAGAAACATATATTAGCAGCATACAGTAGGGCATTCCCCCATCACTTGTTTTCATATCTGTTTTGTGGGTTGATGGGGGAAGTCCTCTGTATGTGCTTATCTTATTGGTTGTTGAATAAAGCACTGTTGGCCAATAGGGAAGCAAGATAGGTGGGACTAGGAGTCAAGAAGGATTCTGGGAAAGAGAGGCAAAGGGAGTCACACTGTAGGAAGCCAGAGGAATAAGAGGTCCGGACCCTGTTCTCTGGTAAGCGAAGACCACATGGAGATATTCATATTAGCAATTATGGGTTAACAATTAAGTCAGCTAGCCAATAAGAAATCATAGCTAACAGCCAACAGCTTCATAATTAATATAGTGTCCTGTGTGTTATTTGGCGTTCAGACAGCTCAATAGGGCCAGGCGGCTGGTGGGAAGACTACACATTACAGTGGGTTGGCTTAAAACTCATGGGTTTGAGCAATTCTGCCTCAGTATCTGAAGTAGCTGAGACTATGGGTATATATCACTATACTCAACTTGCCTTTTTTCACCTCGGGGTGTGTGTGTGGGGAGTGTACTACATGTATGTTATGTATTTCACTTATTTTTTTTTATTTAGCACAAGTCCTTGGTTTTTCAATACAGGGTTTCTCTTTCTGTAGACCAGGCTGGCCTCCAACTCAGAGATCGCCGCCTCTGCCTCTGCTGGGATTAAAGGCGTGTGACACCACCAACAGGGCAAAAGACAGGGCTTTACTTTGTAACCCAAGCAGGCCTCACCTGTTTTAGGCTCCTGAGATTACAGCTACTGACTCAGTTACTCAAGCTTCTCAAAAATTCTAATTTCTCATCTTACAGTTAATTCCAAGTCATTTGCAGCCCTGCTTCATTTCCTGCTACTCTAAATCACCTGACGTCTGAATCCAATTCTCCTTTGGGTTCTTTCTACCATTGTCTGATTTGCCAATATCAGCCACTCTTTATTCTCTTACCTTCTATGGCAATCTTTTCTTATTGGCTTCTGTGTGTTTTTTCATTCTGTTCATTGTCTTTGAGTGCTCTTTGAATATTGATGTTCTTCAGGGTTCTTCTACATTGTCTGTAAGGAGTCTCATCCTCTTTTATAGCGTTAGCTACCAAAAACATTCTTCACGTCTCTCCTATTCATCTTCAGTTGTTCTCTTATTCTCAGTTAACTGAATTGACTCCTGGGTGTGTGAACATTAGCTCACTTTGTTTTTGGTTTTTTTGAGACAGGGTTTCTCTGTGTAGCCCTGGCTGTCTTGGAACTCACTCTGTAGACCGGACTGGCCTCGAACTCAGAGATCCAACTGCCTCTGCCTCCCAAGTGCTGGGATTAAAGGTGTGGGTTACTGCTGCCTGGCTCCTGGCTCCTTACCTACCTTTCTCATAGTTTCATTGGCACTATAATGTGTCTGACCATTTGGCAGGAAGCCTGAGGATCATCCCTTTTTCTCCTTGTCCCATGTCTAGTTGGTGACTGTTTCTTCCTGGAGTTCTTTTAAAATTGTTTTCCTAGTCCCTACCTCACATTAACTTTTCAGCATGTTATCTACATTACTGCAGCACTCTGCTTTAGTTTAGCTTCACAAGTCTCTACCCAGTTACAAAAGGAGTCCTTCAAAATACTGAATTGGATCTTTTTGTTTTTGTTGAGATGGGGTCTCACATGTAGCCCTTGCTGGCTTGGAATGAATTATAGACCAGGTGGGCCTGTAGTTCCTCTAGCTCCGGTTCCTGTTACAGGTGTGTATCGCCACACATAAAGGCAGACTGGATCCTCAGGCTTCCCCTTACTTCCCATTGTCCCCCAGAAAGAAGATATAAAATATTTGCATTGGATACAGCATTTTCCACAATCTGTCCCTTGATTACCTCCCTAGTTTTATTTCTTGATGTCTTCTGCTTCTCCCTTTATGTTTACATTTTATTGTAGGTGTATGTGGAGGGTACATGTGGAAGGCAGATATCCACTCCAGGGTTATTATTCAGGAGCTGTCTACCTGGATTTCTGGCTGGGTATTTCACTAAGCTAGCGTTTTTATCTTTCACTAGCTAAGATGAGTGGCCAGCAAACTCCAGGGATCTGCCTATCTACGCTTCCCCAGCACAGGGATTATAAGCCTGTTCCACTGGCCAAGCTTTTTATGTAGATGCTGGAAAGCAAACTCAGGTCCACATTCTTGCATGGCAAACATGTTAGCAATTGAACTGTTTTCCCCGTCCCTATATATCTTTTTAGACTGGGGTGTGGCCCATGATATATTGTTCATCTTAGCATTACAGGCTTCAGTAGTACAATGTAGTCAAGAACTGTTACAGTATTAAGTTTAAAAATACATAGACTTTTGTAATACTCTGCCCAAAATTGTTTACTTCTTGCTTTTTTATAAGCTGATAACTTAGTGTTAAATTTTAATATCTTATAGATCTTAAAAGTTATACAGAATTTCAAGATGAGTGATACTTCTGAAGTGAATCCAAATTTTGAAGAGATGTTTGCAAGCAGATTCACACAAGATGACAAAGAGTACCAGGAATACTTGAAACGCCCTCCTGAATCCCCTCCAATTGTTGAGGAATGGAATAGCAGAGCTGGTGGTAACCAAAGAAATAGAGGCAACTGGTATGTGTTATTTCCGGAGGATAAAGGCAGAGGGTTGTCTGGGAGGAGCTAGCTTTAACATGCTTGCCTATAAAGCCAGTGAAAGTAGCGACCAGTGTTTTCAGTATGGTTCACCCATAGCCGTGGAACATAATAAGCACTCTAAATACTTGCTTTTATGTGCCCTGCTTAAACCAGGCATAGTGATGCAAACCACTCTTACAATACTTGGGAGGCTGAGGCAATAGGTTCACAAGTTCTAGGCCACCCTAGGCTATCCAATGAGATCCTGTCTCAAACTAATATTTTCTTTTCAAATATACTTAATAAAACTGTAGTTTTTGTGTTTGATTTCTTAAAGAAGGTATTTTGATTAATTTAGAAATGTTCTAAAATAAATGGGAAATTATGTAATAATTCAAAACAATAAAGAAATGACAGTATTTTGTGCATTGTAGTAGGTGTCAGTTTGATCACACTTGGACTTGTTACCTGCTTGTCCAATAAAAGCATCCAGTGTGATGCTGGAAAAATGACTCAAATCTTAGGAAAATGTGACCAGCGATGTGATGTGCCACAGAGAAATGTTTTCACTTTCAGTTACTGTGTATTACATTGAAAACTCAAATGCCTTGGGGTTGATGTCTTGTGTTTTTATTTTTTTAAAGGGAAGTTAATATTTTTGTTTTCTTCTGGTAGGCTGCAAGATAACAGACAGTTTAGAGGTAGGGATAACAGACGAGGATGGCCAAGTGACAATCGATCAAATCAGTGGCATGGACGGCCGTGGGGCAACAATTATCCACAGCAGAGACAAGAGCCTTACTATCAACAACAATACGGACAGTATGGTCACAACCAGCGGCCTCCCTATGGTTACTACTGACAGAAATGTTACCACTTTTAACAAAAGACCATTCGTGTTGATAACATGCTGAACCTTCGTTTGTCTTCTTTCAGTCATAGTTTTTCATTCTATTTTACAGAATGGGTTGTTAATTGTTTAGAACTTGAGATTTGATCTTGTTAGAGATGTGATGATTGATGGGAATAAAGTTTGAATTATATTGTCTGGCTTTAACTTAAATACTTTTTTTGGGGGGGTGCGTTTCAAGACAGGGTTTCTCTGTGGCTTTGGAAGTTGTCCTGGAACTAACTCTTGTAGATCAGGGTAGTCTCTAATTCACAGGGATCCACCTGCCTCTGCCTCCCGAGTTCTGGGATTAAAGGCGTGCGCCACCACTGCCCGGCAACACCATTTGTTTTATGATTTAATAGTGTTTTGTGTTTGGTGTGTTTTCCTTATTTGACCTCCAGGAGTTCTATATTTAACACAAATAAAATGTTTAAATAGGAAGAGTATATAGAAGAGAACATGCTCAGATGTCCTCATCTTGGGCGTTTCAAAGAGTGAGGACAGTCAGTTTGTGAAAATACCTATGAGTATTTATGGTGTATTGTATACAATAGCAGCAGTTGAAAGGTAAGCAATTATTTCTTTTGACTTTGTTATGTGGTTGTGGTATTTTGTGGTTATAAGTGTGAGTCAACTCCAGAACCAATTTGGTCTCTTTATGTGGAAGGACTCATTTTCAGCGCAGCCTCCTGACGCTGTGGGATTGCAGAACTCAACATTTTGTATATGCCAAGGTGTTTGCAAACTTACAACAGGGACGAAACGGATGTGCACTGTAAACACAATACTCATGTAAATACTGCTGCATTTAGACTTTTTGGTATTTCATGTGTTGTGGAATATTATTTTAACGTGTGTCACATTTTTTTATGCTGTGGAACTTTTGTTTAATGATGCAGAGGTGTGTTGCACTCTTTTATATTTCATTTGTTTCTCTGTGAAGTTGTGTTACTTTGCCTGTCTAAAACACCTGATTGGTCTAATGAAGAGCTGAATGGCCAATAGTAAGGCAGGAAAAAGGCGGGGCTGGCAGACAGAATAAATAGAAGGAGAAATCTGGGAGGAGGCATCCATGGAGGAGCAAGAAAAAAAGGGGCAGCTACACAGCCAGCCACAGAGTAAGAGTGAAAGTAAGATTACAGAAGTAAGAAAATGAAAAGGCCCAGAGGCAAAAGGTTGACAGGTTAATTTAAGTTAAAAGCTGGCAAGAAACAAGCCAAGCTAAGGCTGGGCATTTATGAGTAATAATAAAACAATGACAGGGATTTATCATCATTTCCTTATGTGTATTCATATATAAGTTGCAAAAGGAGATCAAATTATATTTAGGAAATAAACACTTCAAGTTTGAAGAAGCTTATGTAAAAGCTGAGCTAAATTAGTGGCACACACTGTTTGGAAATTGGCGCTCACTTTAAAATGCGCTCATTATTGAACATCAGATTAAATCCTATTGAGAACAGCTTGAAGAGTTTTCTGGCTTGCATTCTGCAGTGCTAGAAGGATATGGGGTATCTAGCATATAAATAGCCATTGCTTAGTTTTGGGTTCTTGGAGCCATTTGGGAAAGGCATCTGGGAGGATTTCTGGCATTCTTAAGATGTTTAACAAAAGGGTGAAATTTCTTTTTGTATTTTGTATACCTCAAGGAAAATATAGGACCTTATGTTTGAGTTAAGAGTAAGGAAATGTCAGTTTTCTTTTTTATTGTTTTAAGGGTGGGATTTTTTTCTGTTACTTAGGTTGACCCAGAATTCCTAGGCTCAAGCAGTTCCCATACCTTAGAACCCTGAGTATCTGGGGACTGCAGGTGTATACCACCCCGCCTAACCAAAATGTCCATCTTTTTTTTTTTTTTTCAAGACAGGGTTTCTCTGTATTGTTTTGGACTCTGTCCTGGAACTCGCTCTGTAGACCAGGCTGGCCTCGAACTCAGAGATCTGCCTGCCTCTGCCAAGTGCTGGGAAAAAATGTCCATCATAAGAGTGCTAAAGGAGAAGGAAATGACCTTTCATCCTGGAGGCTACTGACAGCACTAATTTTGAATTCTAATCAAGGTACTACTCTTTGTTCATAACACTTTTATGCTTTAGATTTTTTTTTAATCCCACTTGACTGTTAAATTTGTGTTTGTTGGTATTCAGTATTCCTGAGGAGTTTATAAAGATGACAGGTATCTGAGGTTCATGGTCTCAGGGCTTCTGTCACGGTTGACCCTAGTGCTCTGGGCTTGTGGCAAGGCCATAAATTATGAAAGGAGCATGTGGCAGAAACCTGGTCACCTCATGGGGGTTTGGGGGCAAGGGAAGAGGCTGGGACTGGTTAGCTCCTTCCAAGAACTTTCCACTAGGCCCTACCTCTAAACCACCAAAACATGACAGGCTAGGACAAAGCTTTTCACACATAGGCCTTAGAATCAAACAGATTTGGATTTGGTATATTGACTTCTGGGTTATTACTGGGGATGGGGCCGAGGGCCTCACACATGCTAGGCAACTCTACCTACCCCAGCCCCGTATTTACTTTTTATTTTGAGACAGTTTCACTGAGTTGCCCAGGCTGACCTTGAACTTACTTTTTCTTTTCTCGAGACAGGGTTTCTCTGTGTAGCCTTGTAAACCAGGCTGACCTCAAACTCACAGAGATCAGCCTACCTCTGCTTCCCGAGTGCTGGGACTAACGGCATGTGCCACCACAACCCAGCTGACCTTGAACTTTCAATCATACTTGGGATGTTGACTTTCAATTAGCACTACCGTCTATAGTAATAGAAAATTAATATTGTCAATATTTAGATTAAGTAAGATTAAAATATAGCTATATATGATGTTCTATGATTATCAAAAAGTTTTCCCTGAGTCTGTTATATTATTAGAGAACAAATTAAATCTAGATCCAATTAGTAGATAGAACCCAAGGGAACCTTGAGAGCAAATATTTCCTCCTTTTTAGAACTCTGGTTGATGCTGCTTTTGAGGAAAGTCACATCCAAAGTGTGGTCCTGGGCTAGGATGGCTACACAGTGCCCATCAGCAGGGCTGTACATGTGAGGGGGTGAGGAGGGGATAGCTCTTCAGCTGCTTGAACAGCGCAGAAGCCTTGGCACCAGAGAAACACACTCGGGGGTTAACCATACTGTCAGATCCACATTTTTTTCAGGATAGGTAGCGTGGAGGAGCAGCTTAACACAGGCTTCCAACAAACTCACCAACAGGTTGTGACTGCTCCTTTTAGGATAATGTAAAGGCATACACATAAAAAGGATGGAATCTGCGGGGTGTGGTACATGTCTTTAATCTCACCACTAGGAGGCAGAGGAAGGAGGATCTCTGAGTTCAAGGCCAGTCTGGTCTACAGAGTGAGGTCCAGAACAGCTAGGGCTACAAAGAGAGAAGGGATCTAAGAAGAGGGTGGGGTGAGTCTACAGAGAGAAGGGATCTAGAAAGAGGGTGGGGTGGAGGGTGGGCTCTCCCCGTGTAACAGCATGGATAGAACTGCTGGAGTTCACTGTAATCAGTGAGAAGCCAGACACAGAAAGACGTACTGCCACATCTCACTAACAGAAACTATGTTAACCACATGAAAGTATGCAGAGGCACAGAGGTCACCTGGAATAAAGAGGGATTGGGGGACAGAGAGGGCTAGTAATGGATTCCAAAATAAAATAAGTGGTGGGTAATATGCTTGCATGGAATCATTGTAAGACTCATTATACTTTCCAAAATAACTAGAGGACTGCATTCCTGACCATATGTGCACATATATATGATAGTATGTGAGATGACAGAAATGCTAATTACCCAGATTTGGTGGGTCCACATGTATCAAATTATATTCCATAAAAAGTACAAATACTGTATCGATTACAAAGTAAACAAGTAGATAGCTTTGAACTGGGCACATAGGCACACAGAACACAGGTTCATGCCTCCTGATTTGAAGAAGGCCTTCCTGCGTTGGGTTAAGAGGTTCAGCTCACAGTCTCTGTGTTCATATGTGCATCTGTCTTGTTTCTGGAAGATGCTGGTTCCTTGGAGTCATCCACCACCTCTGGATCTTACGGTCTCTTCTGCCTCCTCTCCCACATAGATCCCTGGGCCTTGGGAGGAAGGGTTTGATGAAGATATCCCATTTATGGCTCAGTGCTCCAAAGTCTCACTCTGTATGCAAATAGTTCAGTTGTGGGTCCCTTTGCTAATTACCATCTACTGCAAAAAGAAGCCTCTGTGATGAGGGTTGAATAATGCTCTCTGCCTTACAGGTATAGCTTGCAAAGGACTTGCACGTGTTCAAACTAGACAAAATCCCAGCACTAAGAAGGGGAAGTGGGCACAGTCCCACCCCTAACCAAGAAGCTCTATGCAGTTGATAGCTGTCGGGAAAGGGAAGTCAGTTTTCTCCAGGGCAGTGTCACAGGGTCTATCCACCACCTGTCAGTCAGTTTTCTCCAGTTGAGTGTCACAGGGTCTATCCGCCACCTTTCAGTCAGTTTTCTCCAGGGCAGTGTCACAGGGTCTATCCACTACCTTTCAGTCAGTTTTCTCCAGTTGAGTGTCACTGGGTCTATCCACTACCTTTCAGTCAGTTTTCTCCAGTTGAGTGTCACAGGGTCTATCCACTACCTTTCAGTCAGTTTTCTGCAGTTGAGTGTCACAGGGTCTATCTGCCACCTTTCAGTCAGTTTTCTCCAGGGGAGTGTCACTGGGTCTATCCACTACCTTTCAGTCAGTTTTCTCCAGGGCAGTGTCACAGGGTCTATCCACTACCTTTCAGTCAGTTTTCTCCAGTTGAGTGTCACTGGGTCTATCCACTACCTTTCAGTCAGTTTTCTCCAGTTGAGTGTCACAGGGTCTATCCACCACCTTTCAGTCAGTTTTCTGCAGTTGAGTGTCATTGGGTCTATCTGCCACCTTTCAGGGTAGGCCCCATGCCCAGGAGTAGTTGGCCAATACAAAACAGACTTAATGATTTTTATGCATATTTTTGTTTTGGTATTTCTTCTTACTGATTTTCCTTTTTAAAATTTTGTTTTGATTTGCATTTTTTGTTTTTGATTGTTTTTCCTGTGGGTAGAGAGTTGGGGAGGGGAAAGAATATTATCAAAATAAATTGCATAAACTTTTTTTTAAAAAATGAAAAAAGTAGTTCAAC